CATCATCATCATCGTCATCATCATCCCCATCATCATCCCCATCATCATCACCACCATCATCATCACCACCATCATCATCATCATCACCACCATCATCATCATCATCATCACCACCACCACCACCACCATCATCATCATCATCATCATCATCATCATCATCATCATCACAATCATCAGCACCACCATCATCATCATCATCATCATCATCGTCATCATCATCATCATCGTCATCATCATCATCATCATCATCATCATCGTCATCATCATCAGCATCATCATCACACAACGATAGTGAGATCGATCGTGAGATCGCTCGTGCGATCTATAATGAGATCGATTGTGAGATCCATCGATTGTGAGATCGATAGAGGGGTGGGTAATGAGATCCATGCTGAGACCGATCGATAAGAAGATCGACCAAGAACCCGGGAACCTGGGAACCCCGACGCCCACCGAAATCGGCCCGGAGCCGGGAACCGGGAACCCCGGAACCGAGAACCGGGAACCAGGGAACCTGGCCGCCTACCGAAATCGGCGCGGAACTTTCGCCAAGTCCTTCAATCTTTTTTAGGATTTTTTAATAAAGTATTGATCGGGAAATCTTGGAGGGTCCGCGCGGATTTCGGGGATCGGCGCTGACGGGGATCCCCGCGCGCCCAACCGCGCGCACAGAGATCCCTCCCACCGCAGCTCGCGAGCCCGGCCTCCTGCCACGAACGCTCCCGTCATGCGGCGGTCTCGCGACACGCGCGTGGATTCTTGCAACCGCGCGTGCGTCCATGCTTCACTCCTGGCGGCGCTTCCGTCGGGGGCGCGCGAACATGGATCAGCGATCCATGGGTTCGGCGCGCGGTCGCGAAATCCATGGATCGGGGGAGGTGCCTTCCCCAAAATGCGGCCGGTGCCGCCTCGCTCGGCGACGGAAATCCGCGATTTCCCATGGTACCGGGACCCGTCGCTAATCCACGCCCACTTGATTTAGGATCGGCAATAGCGACTACGGGCGGTCCACCGCCATATCGTGCGAAGAAACTCAAATTCTAAAAATAATTTAAAAGATATCTGAGCCCAAACCTGCGAGAATATCAAACTCTAGAAACACTTCCAGACATCTCTAAGCCAAACCTGCGAAAATCTCGGACTCTAAAAACAACTTCCAAACATCTCTAAACCAAAACCTGCGAATATCTCAAACTCTGAACACAACTTCCACAACGTTCTCTGCACCAGAACCAGCGAAAACATCAAAACCCTACAAAAACTGTAGAAACATCTCTAAGCCGAAACCTGGGGAACTATCAAACATATAACAAACTAAAAAGAAATCTAAAAGCAATTGGAAACACTTTGACTATATATAAAACTCTAAACGTCTAAAAACCTAAACATCAACTCTAAACAAAGTCAAACAAATTCAATCCTCTGAAAACTCTTTGGAACTATATATATAGACAAAACTCTGAATAACATCAAAAAAATCGGAGCAAATTCATGGCCGCCTGACGAACTCAACAGAACAACTCTGGGACAACTCTCAAAACATCTACATGCAATCCCCGGCGGCCTAGAAAATTCAAAAACAAGCAACTACTAAAAACATTAGCCTGGCGAAGAACCCAACCCCTAATTTCAACGCGGGGCGACTATAAACAGGACCGCTCAAGGTCGGGGCGGCCGCATGTGGACCCTGACACTGGGGCCTTCGGTGGAGCTCCCTAGGGGCCACGAACCGTGTGAGGGGTGTGCCGAAATGGTCGGGGCGGCCGCATGTGGACCCTGCCACTGGGGCCTTCGGCGGACGTCCCTAGGGGCCACGAACCGTGTGAGGGGGGTGCCGAAATGGTGATGAGAATGATGATGGCCACGAGGATGACGAGGAGTATGGAGATGGATGGTGATGATGATGACAACGACGATGATGATGATGCCAAAGACGAAGAAAGGTTAGGACAATGATGAGGACAATGATGATGATGATGATGATGATGATGATGATGATGGTGATGATGACGATGCTGTTGATGATGATGATGATGATGATGACGATGCTGTTGTTGTTGTTGATGAGGATGATGATGATGATGGTGGCGATGATGGTGATGGTGATTATGGCAGTAATGGCGATGACGACGAGGGTGATGACGACGGTGGTGATGGGAAGTGGGACAGGGGGGATGGGAACGAAACGCGAGGGGGAGGAGGAGGGGGAGGAGGAAGGATGGAACGCGGCGCTGCGAACTCAAAACGAGGACCCAACACACAGGAGGGTTGGGAACAACTCTGAGACAATCTGGCCACCTGAGCATCAAGCATATGTTTTTCAATCTCTCTGCTTCAATATTTTCTAAAGTTTCGATTTCAATCTATTTCGGGCTGAGATTTTCCCAGGTTGTGGCTTAGATATGTTTCGAAGTGTTTTTTTGGGGTGAGATGTTCGCAGGTGTTTGCTTGGAGATGTTTTGAAATTTCTTTAGAGTTTGAACTTCCTGCTGAAGATTAGCCGAAGATTCTGTCTGGTTTTCTCGATGGACCTCCTGTAGTAGAACTGCCGAACCTAACCCTTGATCCATGCTTGCGATCGCCTGAATTACGCGCGCGTCCTCGTTTCGCTCCTGGCGGCGCCTCCGGCGCCGCTGCTGGCACGCTCCGCGCGCCAGGGAAAGTGGCCAGAGCTAACCAGAAGCTTTCGAAAGACCGCGCAAATCCCTCGGATCGGCGCTGCATCACCCTCCCCCCTGGAGGCGCCGCCCGGGCGACGCAAACAACTGTGGCGGCTAATTGTTCCGTCGTTTTACGCTTACGCCGAATTTTTCTTCGCCGATGCAGGGCGTCCAGTGGCGCCGGCGCCTGTCGGGGCGGACGGAAGTGGACGATAGCATAGGGAAGGTCAGCGAATCGGCTCACGCAGCTGGCTTCCCTGGCGCCTCCCGGCGTCGGAGGCGCCCCTGCATCAAGGAAAACGCCTGGCGGCGGGGCCGAAACCAGAGGCACGCAGCAGAGTTTGCCTCAGCCTTTCCTTGCTAGGATCACCGCAGAAGCTGCGAACAGGACTGGGCGTCTATAAATGGATTTTACGGTGGGTTATGCCTTATTAGAATGAGCTGAATGGGGGCGCCGAACGATCATTCATTGTCCTTTGATGCGTGGCTGAATGCACATTCCGTTGCCAAGATTCGTGTTGATTGTTGTTTGTTGTTCGTCGCGCCTCGCGACCCGCCCGCAACCTTCCCGCGATCCACCCCGCGACCCACCCGCGACCCACCCCGTGACCCACCCGCAACCCACCTGGACCCACCTGGACCCAAACACTCTCAAAATGTTTCCGTGGACTCTTCCTGGGATCCATCCTGACCCATTCCTCGCGGAGGATCCGGCCGTGGCGACAAGAGAGGCCTTCAAACACCACATAAAGGACCGGAAACGCCAAGGAACGCCGCCGTTGTAGCGACTGGCCCCCTTCCGAACAACGGCGAACCAACGTCGGCCTGTGATTAACAATTCCGTGAGGGGCGCGTGTTTTTACTAAAATAGTCTCCCTGCTCGGGCGAATCACGGGGTGGCGCCCGCCAGATTGAAAGCCAACGACGGCGGCGCCGGTGATTAGCGCCGACGCCCAGCTGTCAGCGGGAAAGCGACAGACAGCACAGAATGGGGGAAGGGAAGGGGGCGGGAGGCAAAGGCGGCAGAAGCAGGGACCGTGAGCCAGGGCGACGCCTGTTCGAAATGAGGAAGAACTGCTGTCGGCGCTCGCCCTCGCACTTCCCGTGCTCTTTACTGTCGAACCGATGCGCTTCAGTACTCGACGACCACGACGACGAAAACGACAAAAACGACGACGACAATGACGACGACGACAAGGACGACGAGGAAGACGACGACGACGATGACGACGGCGGCGGCGACGAGGACACCTGAGAGGGAGAAACTTTCGCCTCGGATGTGTACGACCCTTAGGACAACTTCTATACGAAATGCAACCGTTCTGATGCTGTCATGCAGGGGGGTACACGATCACCTCGGCGGCGCCAGCGACGAACCCCTGGCGCGCGTGATTAAAACAAACATGTTTCGTGTCCCGCGGGGTCTGCCCCGGGGGGGTCATGTGTTAATCATAAGCTGCCATCACGGGCACTGCGAGAACGTCTGCGATTCCCCGCCTTCCCGCACAGAAGGAGCCACGGTCGGCAGGGCAACTGGTCGTTGAGAAAAGGGAGAGAGGGAGAGGTCGCGCTGAAGAGGGTCTGTCCTGGACCCTAGCCGAATCGCCGCACCCCTCGCCCTTCCGCCCGAGATAGCTCCAGACCTGAGGCGCGCGGCGCCAGGAGAAGCGTGGTGCTCTAGGAGTGGAGTGCCGCGGTGCCGACGGTGGCCCCCCTCCGACCCAGGTACAGTCGGCCCGTATCATAAGGACGCGTGGTAAGAATGCAAGGGCCTGCAAGGGCCATGCTAACGTTTCTCTAATGAGGTTGGCCGACGAAAGTGGCCAAGGATGGACCATCTAGGCGAGGATGCGAGGGTAACTTTGGAACAACTGCCCGTCCTTACCATGCGGGTCGACTGTAGCCCCTCGCTTCTGAAGGGTCACGAATCGGTGCGGTGACAGACCTCGGAATCCTCAAAGAACCCACCGCACATCCTGTCGCCGCCGCACCGCTTTTTGGAACCCCTGGAGGCCCCTGATCACCCGAGGTATCCTCGGAGAACGGCCCGAGTCCTCAGACCGAGCGGTGACCCCGAAGCCCCGCTGACTCGCCACACGGTGTGGTCACCGCACCGCTTGTCGACTACACGCAAGAGTGACCCTGTGCAAGAATGACCTTTGATGCGCGACTTCACGGGGGACGCGGGGTGGCAAAACCCAGGCGCGCACGCCGCTGCTACCGCTTCGCGTTCAGCGATCGGGCGGCCCCATTGGGCCCGCACCCATGGCCACTCCGGCCAAAGGTCACTCTTACTTCCAGCCGAGCTTGGGGTCCCCAGCCCTGCCGTCCGACGCGTGCCTGCTGCAGCCACTGGGCCCGGCGCAGCAGGCGCGGGCCTGCGGCTGCCGGCGGCACGCCCGCCGCGTCGGCGTCGTGGCGCCAGGCGCGGTCCTCCTCCGGCGGCGGGGCCGCGCGGTGCAGTGCGGCGGTGCCCTGAGGCACCAGGAACCTCTGCAGGGGGAGCAGCACAGCGGCGCCCGCGCGCCCCTGGCCCAGCCAGGAGGGCGTGTGCACCGATCTTGGGCCTGGGATGGGCCCGGCCAGGACCGGTGAGATTAGACGAAATCAAAAACCGCATGCGCGTAAACTTTTGGCGCTCCACGCGGACTTCTTGGATTTGCGCTGGAACCCCCTGCCTGGCGCGCGGAGCGCGCCAGAGGCGGCGCTGCAAGCGCCGCCTGTGGGGGCCCAGCGCGGCCGCGGGGGGGGGGGGGGCAGTGCGGATCCAAGAAATCCAGGCGGGGCGCAAAAATGTTAGGCTTATGGCGCTGTTTCTTCTTCGAGAGACGGCCAATCGACAAGAAGAAGAGAGAACAGCGCAAACTTTCGAGAACGGCGCCGGCGCACACCTGGCCAAGCAAGGAAAGCGTGTGCACCGATCTTGGGCCTGGGATGGGCCCGGTCAGGATCGGTGAGATGGTCAGCCAACCAGAACAAGAAAGCACAGCACACACTTATTCGGAGACCCTCGCGGATCTCTTGGGTCGGCGCTGGGCCCCCCCGCGGGCTGCCCCAGCGCCGAGCCCAGAGGCCCTCGTGGAGCTCCGAACGTTCATGCTTGCACGTCGGTCGGAAGACGCGGGTAGGAACATGAAGCACAGTAGGAGCTCGGCCACAAGAAACCTTCCACCAGAAACTCAACCCTGAGACCCCAGGACGTCCATGGAGTCGTCGTCGTCGTCGGAAGAGGAAGAGAACGAGGAGGAGGAGGTGGAGTAGAGCGAGGACGAAGAGGACGAGGAGAAGGAGGAGAAGGAGGAGAAGGAGGGAGAGTTGGGTACCTCGGGGATCCTCTTGAGGCCTCGTATGGGGTCTCTTGGGAGCCTCTTCGAGGCCTCTTGGGGGTGTCTGGGCGCCCATTGGGGCCCTCCAGGGCCGCTCTTCGTAGCCTTAGGGGCGCTCTTGGGGCCATCTTGGAGCACATCGAGGATCTTTGATGCGGGAACGTCACGCTTGCCACAGCAACACCGTCGAAATCCAAGAAACCCAGGGCACCCTGGAGGCAAACAATGTGTTTCTTGGCACGGGCTTCCATTGTAGGGGGGCCTTGGAAATAGATTGGGCTTCCGCCCGCCCCCGGAAGAGGAGGGAAGAGGAACACCACTCGGTCCTTGGAGTAGGGAGGCGCCCAAAGCAGATTGGGGTCTGGGAATACAGAAGTACCCACTTTCGACGACCGACGTGGACGCCGTTGCCTGCTTGCTCTCCCCCGAGAACCTCAGGGAGGGCCCGAGCTCCCGCAGCGTGGGCGGCGTGCGGCGCGCAGGCGCGGCGAGCACCTGCACGATTGACGAACGGATCCAATGCCCCACGGCTTGAGCTGCACACTGCTTTTCGTTCTCGTTGTGTCAGCGTTCTCCTTCGTTCTGCCTTTGCTGCGAATCGAGATCGAAGCGAAAACGGTCCACGACATCGCCGAAACGCCGTTTAGCGCGAGACCTGCCATGTGCGCGCCCTCGCGGCCTGGAGACCTACGGGCGATCCCATGGCCACGCCACCCCACGGCACGTCCTGCGCGGGGCCTCCGCGCAACGCCGCCGCACATCCACAGGGCCGTGGCCGCAGGCCACAGGCGTGGCCAGGAAACGAAGAACTGCATGCACAAGACCTTCGGAACTCCAAGCGGATTTCTCGGATCGGCGCTGCACCCCTCCCCTCGACGCGCGGAGATCGCCTGGGACGAGGCCTGCACGCCGATCCGAGGAGTTATACTTTTTGCAATACGGGCCCGCAAAAGTTCCGATCCCTTGCCCAAGGCCTGTTCTTCATCGCGAGTAGTTTTCCCAACGAGGGCCCTTATTATTAGACCCGTGGGCCGACAACAACAGACACGAAAGCACTGTCGATGTTTTTGCTTGTTCACGACGCCAATATGTCTGGGGATACGTAGGTGTCCCTCCCGCGGCACCTGCCCCGTCAGCAGCACCTCCAGCACATCGTCCTCGAGCACCTTCATCAAAGAGCCCAGAAATCGGATCGGCGATCGACATGAATCGGATCGACAAAAATTTGCAGCCCAGTCGGACAAAGTCGAATCGGCAGAAATCGGCAGGCTGGTCTGCGTCCAATGATAAATCGGAACCCAAATCGGAATCCCAAGTCGAATCGAATCGGAATCGGAATCCATCGAAATCGAATCGAACCGAAATGAGCCCTGCCTTCATGCGCCAAGACAAGGCCGCGAGGCACAACTCCGAAGCCACGGGGTCCCCCCCGCGCCGGCGCAGCTGCCGGAAGGCCGCGCAAGCGTACATCTCGTTGAGCACGCTCGCCAGGCGCGCGGTCAGCTGCGCGGCGTGCGCGGTGGAGCCGCCCTCGCCGAAGTCCTGCCTGCGGGGGCAACCCGCACTGAAGAAGGACACACGGCATCATCATGCACGTTCGGAGGCTCGCGTGGATGCACTGGTTCGGCGAGGGGCCCCTCTGGCGGCGCGCGCGCGCGCCAGCGCCGCATCTGCAAAGAAGGGAAGATGGCTGCGAACATGGCCTTGATTTGGACTCGGGTGAGGAGCGCGCCTCCACTTCAAACAACGGCCCGACCCAGATCGGCAAAGACGGAGACCGCGACGAGAAGGTGATCCCGACAGGGCGGGCCCAGAACGCGAGCCGACCGCACCGACCCGCACGCAGAGAGCGGGCCATCGCCACATCGGTATGAACGACTGCACAGTGATAGCCTCTGTTGTCGGCGCGCACCAGGGGGTAGGGGGAGGGGGTAAGGCTTTTCTTAGAAGGAGGCCGCTTCTCAGAAGACGCGGGCCTCACATCTATAGACCAGGCCCGCGCCTTCCAAGAAGCAGGGGTGCTTTTAAGAAGCCTCCCCCCCTCCCCCTACCCCCCTCTGCGCGTGGCCAACTCTGTGAGGTCCGCGAAAATTTCAGTGCCGCCCCTGGCGCGCCAGGGGAAGGGGGTCTGGAGCCGATCCAGAACAGCCGCTCGGACCTCCGACAATTCATGCTAAGGCCACTTTTTCTTGGAAGGGACCTGTGCCCAAAATTTTCCGTTGGGTTGGCAAACTATCCCCACTTAAATGGGATCCTTTTTCCGTCTTTGAGCTCGAACGTGTTTTGATACGGTTTCCTTTCGCCCGTGGACCAAAACCATGTATGTGTTTACGCGGGTGTTCTTGCCCATGCGTTGAAACTAAACTCTGTGCGTTTTAACCTGGTTTCCCTTCGCCCGTGAACCCAAGCAATGTGTTTTCACATGTACTGATTTCGCCCGTGAGCAAAAATCTGAATGTTTCGAGCGAGGGCTTCATTTGAAAGTGAATTGCGGGGAAGTCTCGAGGGGGTGGGCCGCTCTGTGGAGCTCAAGGAGGAGGTGGAGGACCACTGTGAACCCAAGACGCATCAACGATATTGAACCCTCCATCCAAACTTCTCTTGACACATCTGTGCAAGTTTTGTCCAGACGGGAAATTCCCCGGCAGAACACACCCGTCTGAAAACCCCCAATCGTGCCAAAACATAACTCTGGGGCCCCAGCGCCACGATTCAATGTGACTGCTGCGCCCTGAAGCACTAAATCGTGCCAGAACGCCCTTCCTGTGACTTCAACACAACGAATCAACGTGACCTTTGTGTCTGAATGTGCCTGGCAATTCTAGGCCGCTTCAGAACACGACTTCTGTGCAAATTATCCTACGAAACCGTACAACTGCGGCACATGTTTCAGACGAATGCGCGCGGCGCTAAATCGAGAGCCACACTCCCCAATCAGTGCTTGCACTGGAGAGTCCTAATCAATGGTGACAGAACAAGCGAAAGTTCGGGGCCAATTTTGGTAGGCGGCTGGGTTGCCGAGTTCCCCGGATTCCTGTTCCAAATTTCTGATTCCATTTCGGTGGGCGGCCAGGTTCCCTGGTTCTCTGTTCCAGGTCTGGAACCCCCAGCGTTGTAAGGTTCTTTTGTGTTCGGTTTCTTGGCTGTGGTCAACTACCCAGGTGCTCGCGACCACGAACATACTGCTGAAGAAGAACTTGAGTATTGACGAGTACAGATCATCTGGTAGAGTGCAAATATGAAACAGAGCATCGTTGAGCATCTGGACGACAATTAAACATCTATTTGTAGATCTACACACGGACAAGAAGCATAGCGGGTTAACAACGTATGTGCCAATCGATCGACATCCAGAGAGAGAGGGAAATATCAAGAACGAGATGCCATACACATATATATATATATATATATATACACATCTATATACATATGTATATGTATAGATATAGATAGACAGGCCAAACCGTATGAACACTACTTACATATGTGTGCATCTGTATATATATATACATATGTTTCTGTATAAATGTATGTGTATCTGGATGTGTGTGTATGTGTGTGTGTGTGTGTGTTTGCACCGAGCTACACACACATACACATACTCAGAAAGAGAAACAGTGAAAGAGGGAGAGAGAGAGAGAGAGAGAGAGACAGAGTACAAAGGAGAGTGAGATCAGGGAGCATGTCCCCAATGCGTGCTTGCACTGGAGGGGCCCTCTCGGGGACTGAAGGGAATGGACGAAAATGGCTGGGACGGTTTCGTTGGGCGGCGGGGTTCCAAGGTTCGCGCTAGAGCATTCCAGGCCAATTTCGATGGGCCGCTGGTCTCTCTGCCATCACATTCGCTTTTTAAGAGTGGCGTTTCTGCTTTCCCTCCCTCTCTCTCCCTTTTTCCTCCTCGCTGTCCGCCCCCTCCCCTCCTTCCCCCTCCCCCCGCGTGGCGCCGATACGTTTGCATGTATCATTCTCATTGCCCGCATGTCTCTGCCCGGTCCGAGCCCGGGGCTATTGTTAATGTTTTCTGGTCACACGCATAACTTTTCATTCGGTCACACAACAATTCGCCGTCTGCGCGCCAGGCTTGACTGGCTGGTCTCTCGGGTTCCACCTCCATGTCAGGGTTCATGGTGCGGTTGGATTTTGGGTTCCTCGAGTTTCCGCAGGCGTTTGCGACCAGGGTCAGAATGAGTACATGTGGTAGAATGCAGAAGAACACAGATCAAGGAGCACAGAATGAAGGGTACCACGGTTCTTGAGTCTGTTTTCAGCGTCGTCGTCACCCATACAAACGTCCCTATACACAGATATGTACAATTCAGAAAGGTAGGACAAAGAAAAAGAGAGAGAGAGAGTAGATACAGAGGAAGAGAGAGAGAGAGAGAGACAAAAAACTAGACAACAAAATATCAACAGAGAAAAGGAATATAACGAGCGTCGAAGTAGAGAGCGGTAGAAGGAGAGATATATAACAAAACAGTTGGTGCGACCGTTGCTATACAGAAATGTCGAACTGAAAGATGCATGAAAGGATCGGAATGACAGGGTCTAAAACATGTACAGAAAGTACGCGTCAAGGAGCACGGTCGACATTGTTGGGTAGAGAGGGGAAGAAGAGTGAGAAAGAGAGAGAGAGAGAGAGAGAACGACAAAAAAGGAAGAGAGGAACCCAGAGAGGCAGAGAAACGGATAGAGAGAGAGAGAGAAAAACAAAAATAACGAGAGATCGAAACAGACAGATAACGAGATCGATAGAGAGATGGAGAGAGAGAGAGAGAGAAATAGTCAAAGAAAGGGAAAGAGAGCGAGGTAGAGAGCAAGAGAGAGAGAGAGAGTAGGAGGGGGGAGAAGAGAGAGAGAGAGAGAGATAGAGAGGGAAGCAGAGATTCACCAAGAGAGACAATGCAGAGAACGAGCGAGCGGCGAGACACAGAGAGTGATTTGTGCACATACATGCATATGCAGAGGCAGGGAGATAAGGAGAGAGAGAGAGAGGGAGAGAGAAAAGAAGACAGACTGCACACATGTACACATGCATACATCTACACCTACATCACGCGCGCTTCGCGCGCGCTCAAGTTCTAGCTAGGCTTGATAGGCTAACTCATGTAATCTCATGTTGGTCGCTTCTTGCGTCCAGGGACTCCTTCGGAGGCCCTGCGCAAGCCTCGGCATCGGGGAAATCATTAATTTCCTTCAGATACGCAGAAATCATTAATTTCCTTCAGATATTCCACGGTTTAGGGCCCTCAAAGGCTTCCTGGGTTCCTTTTTGGAAGGTGAGGGGGGTCTGACTTGTGGTCTGTTATGCAAGAATAGACTGGGGGCCAAACTTGGAAAACGAAAAAAGAAAATGTAGGATTCCCATTTGTTTCCAATTCCACGGCGCTGTTCAGCACTGTTGTTTGTTTGTGCCTCGCGGGTTTTGTTAGCCGGGCCCCTCACGGGTGTGGGATCGTCTGGACCCCCTGGGGGTTCTGGAGGCCTCCTGGAGGCCTGGAGAGCCGTCGGAAGGGTGTCTCGGGCTGCGCGGGAGCGTGTTGGGCCGTTCTTTACGTTCTGGGGGCTCCTTGGGGTCGTCTTGGGCTGTCCTTTGGCGTCTTGGAGGCCCCCGCGGAAGCCGGGAGGCGAGGTACCGGCCTGATGTCAGGGGATGGGTGGGATCTCCGAGTAGGATTAGGTTCAGCAATAGCGACTACAGGCGGTCCGCCGCCATATCGGGCGAACAAGCTCAAACTCTAACACACATCCAGGCAATCTCTAAGCCAAAACCTGCGAACATCTCAAACTCTAAAACAACTTTGAAACATATCTATACCAACACCTGCGAAAATCTCACTCTAAAAACACTTAAAACAACTCTGAACCAAACACTGCGAACATCTCAAACTCGCATTGAAAAACTCACAGCCGAAACCTGGGGAAATCTCAAACCTTACAAACAAATCAAAAGCGGAACGGCAAAACAACTCTAAACGACTCTAAGCACAACTCTAAATCAACCCTCTAAAACAACTCTAATCGCCTAACCACTCGAAACACTCGAACAAACTATAAACACATCTGGAACAGCTTAAATCAACATAACTCTAAACACATTTCTGACCGCCTGGCGAACTCAAAACAACCCTGGACCAACTATACACAATACAACTCTAAATGCAAACTCTGGCTTAAGTTTTGAGATATTCGCAGGTTTTGGTTTTGAGTTGTTTGGAAGACATTTAGAGTTGATAGAGAGTGTTTTGTGTTTTCAGAGTTTGAGATGTTCGCAAGTTTTGGCTTAGAGTTAGAAGTGTTTTAGAAATTCTGATTTCCGCAGGTTTTGGCTTAGAGTTGTTTTGAATGTGTTTGGGAGGTTGAATTTCATGTTGAAGACTTTCCGAAGATTTCGGCTGTTTTTCTCGATGGACGTCCTGTAATATACTTGCCGAACCTAAGAGTAGGAATCCAATTTGAAAAAAACGGGGGGGCGCGGTCCCGGGCGCCTCTTCGGTAATTTTGGGGATTTATGAGCCCGTCTTGGACCCGTCCTGGGAGCCCTTTGGG